CTGGAACTAAGATTTCTTTCCCTTGGAACCACTTGCCTTCCTGGGTTTTGTGTCACGTCTCTTTCTCCTTAGAGCTGAGCTGCATAGCTCTTTAGAAGGACCCATGGGCTGGTCTTTGAGGGGAGGAGGAAGGAGAACTTGGGCCTACAGCACAGCTAATCAGGGACAGCATGTGGGGAGCATTCTTCCAAGGGAAGAGAGTGGGTGGGACAGCAGGAGAGAGACTGAGAGCAGGCCTTGGGGGCGGGAATGGGTCTTAAGACTGGTTGGCCCAGGGAACTGACCAGGATCCTCAATGGGGGTCGTGGTGGTCGTTACAAATTCTGGAATGGGGAGGGGGGCATGTGACACAATTGGGAGGGAAATGGGGGACATGTGGTGGTTAATGTGTGCCCTTAGGCAAGCGCCATTAGGAACCTCAGATCCCCTCTCTGTAAACCAAGAGAAAGAAGAGAGGAGGATTTAAGCTGTTGGTGTTTGAGGGGATTAAATGAGATAACCACCTCTCCCAGGGCCAGGTGCTTCGTAGGTGCTGGAGAGGCACCAGTCCCTTCCTGGAGAGGGAAGTCCCGTAACTGGGAAGCAGGGCCCAGGTTGGAAGGTTGGGACGTTGAGAATTGTCAAAGAACAAAAATTCAACCGAGTGAATTCAAGACCTAATTGGCTTTATTCAGCGATTCATGAATAGGGCAGCATCCCATCCAGGAAATAGACAGGAGCTCGGAGAAGTTATATAAAATGGAAGATTTTTTATAGGCAGAAAGAGGATGGGACAAAGAAGTTAAAAGAGCCGTGTATTTCAGGCAAGGTCATCTTCCCTTATGGAGGGCAGGGGGCTTACCAGGCAGATTACCTCACTACTAGTGTTGATCAGGAAATTGCAGACTGATGGGTTTCAAATTCCACTCCTGGGAGAAGCTGCAACTACCCTTAGGTGAAGCATTAAGTCTTGGTGGGGCTTAGCCTAAGTGACTCCATTTTGGGTCTGCTGTTTCTTTTTAACAGGATGGAGGACACGTGTGCATTCCACCCTGCTTGGTAGTGCCAGCGTCCCTCTGCCCGGGCCCCAGGCCTGGGCACCTCGTCTCACTTGAGGAGAACGTGTGGCCGCAGGGAGGGCTGGCCTCCCCGGACACGGGGAGCAGAGACTCAGGATTCCAGGCTGGTGAAGTTGGGGTGAAAACAGACGACGAAGGGAAGGGCACTGGTTGGGAAGCATGGTGGCCAACCTCTAGGACAGGGTCACACTTGGGGACCTCCAGGGGATGAAGGGAGTCATAAAAATGGGTGAAACAAGCTGAAGTGAGGCAACAAGATAGGGCCCTTGGGCTGTCACCAAGGAGGGTGGCTGCTGCCCAGGCCAGCTGAGTGTGGCCAAGGCTCAGTGAGAGTTTGGGCCCAGAGTGGCCGGTTCTCTCAGTGCTTCAAGAGAAGTAGGGACTATGTATCTATAATATGATATCTTCCCATTTTAAAACACTGGGAATCAATTAACAAAACAAAAGAAAAAAAACAGTGGAAACAAAAAAACCTGTGCAGGCCAAACAAAGCCCATCACCTTGGCTGGTAACCCCCTGCTCCGGCAAAGGTGGTACCAAGGGCAGGTCCCCAGTTGACTGCTGCAGATCTCTCCTGGGAGAAGGCTTGTGCTCACTCTCCAGCTCCTGGAAATGGGCTCATGGTAGACTCAGCTTCCCTGAGACCATTGGGGGAACAGAGCCATCTTGCTGTGCTGTGTGGTCCTGGGCAAACCACTTCCCCTCTCTGGGCTGTGAGAGAAGAACCTGCTCTGTGCTGCTCCTGCCATTTGGACAGTGTGTGACTAAGTCCCTCAGGCTCGAGGGAAGATGCAGTTATTCTGGAAGTGACTCTTCCTGGGAACCATGCATCCGGGATTGCATGAGTGTACTCTGGCATTTGTGTGTCCACAGTCAACTGTGTGTCATAATTAGGAGCTTTGCATGGCAAAGTGTAAATATCATCGTTTTAATAACTCTGCCCTGGAACCTTTCATCGGCTGCTCCGGAAGCCGGTAGCAAACCTTAATTAATTCTCCCAGTGACCTGGGGAGGGAGGGGTCCTTCTTCTCCATTTGCAAGTGTGGAAACCCAGGCTCAGAGCTGGGAGGTGACTTGACTAAACCCGCACCACTCGGAACCTGACTCAGGTGTTGGTTCCATGGCAGTCTGTGGGGTCCCTCATTAAAAGAGTGAGAACAGAATTAGTGCTTGGGGATCTGCTCTGTGCGCATCACAGTTTGAGCTGCTGGAAGAGGGAAGAGGGAGAAGAAAAAGGTCTTTGCCTTTGACTTTTCCGTGGCAGGAGAGTGTAGCTGAGCCCAGGCTACCTCTTTGGGCCGTCAGCGGCCCACCATCTCTTGCTGTCCTGTCATATCGGTGGCCCCTGAATCGACCTGGCCTGTATTCTGTGCAGCACTCAGAGCCTGAAGGCGCAGGGAGCTTCCAACTCGCTCAACATTCTCGGGTTGCAGTAACGGGCATATCCACTGGCCTCGCAGGGGGCCACTGCTTTGGTTTGAGAGGAGACAGAACCCGGCAGGGGAGAGAGCAGCTTTTAGGGCTAGAAAACCCCGGCTTTTTGTGCACCCTCCTCCTCCCCACCCCCCACCCGGTTTTTTCCACCTGTGCCCTCGACTGGGTCAGGGCGTCAGTGCCTGACTGTGCTCCCCTGGCCCCACACGGAAGACCGCGTTCCTGCGAGGCGCTCCTCGCGAGGCTAGGGAACCGTGTTTCCCGGCCGCAGACCCCAGCGGGCCTGGGAGCCGCGGGCGCGGGCCCTTTAAATCCTCCGGGGCGGCGGCGGCGGCGGGCCGGGGATGACATCAGCGGGCGGGCCCGGGGCTC